TAACACTGGGTTTGCTAGAAAGCTCTTCTATATATTTTTTTAATTCTTGTCCATTGGCCAACAAACTTCTAGCATTCCATTGCATCAAGAGGATCATTATTACTATTATCCAACCCATGCTTGATCCTGGCTTGCCTGAGCACTGAGGTCATTTCTTACTTCCTCCCATGTCAGCCCACGGATATTTAGATGATGTACTGCTGCCTTCACAATTATTTGTATTCTTTCTGTTTTAGATTTAATCTCCATTGTGGCATTAACTACCCCTGCAATGAAAATAACTAGTTTCTTTAAGTCAACCAATACTTTTTCTTTATTTACCTGTTCTACTTCTTTTGAGATTTGATTCTCCACTCTGTTTCTTTCATTTTTTCCTTCTCTTGGATTCACCATCATCACAGCTTCTGCATATGTGATCTTATTCTGAGTTCTTACCTGTTGTATTTCCCTTTCCTTTTTCATCACTTCACACCCCCCATAAGCCACACTGTGATTCCCCCCACAGTTGCAACATTTTGGCTGTTCATGATTACATTGCCCATATTCATGATCTTCTCCACACCTGGCACATCTCCTTCTGCCTTTACATACCTTGGCTGTATGTCCAAATCTTTGGCAGTTGTAGCACCTCATTGGCTTTGGAATATATTCTCTAACGTTATAGCTCAAAAATCCTAACGTCACTTTTTTGGGTAGCAATTCCTCTTCAAAATCAAGTACAACATACTCACTGTCTTTCCTCACTCCCTCTCTTTATGAATATGAACTTTCATGGTCACTCTCTTCTACTCCTCTTTCAAAACTTTGACTACGCCTGGTTTTCTTTGCTCTAATCCCTTCAAAAGTATTTTCTCTTTTCTCCCTCATTCTTCCGCTTCCTTGACTTGTTTCCATACTATCATCACTATCCACTATATCAGAATCTCCCCACTCTGGTCCATTCACAACACAGCTGTGCTTACCCGCCACCGCTTTCTTCTTTTCATTTGACTTTCCCATTCTTATCATTTTTCCCCTTTTCCGACCTCCAGTTGATAAACATGCTTTTCTTCCAAGATCATCGGTTAAATTTCCGCGATTTTTTAATTTAGAAGTTTTGACCATATAACTCTTGCCAACTGCAGATTCCTCCTGCGTTGTCACGCCACTTCCCCGTCCAGGACCGTACTCTTCACTAAATTCTATTATATAATCCCGTGTCCTTTAAATAACGCATTAAAAATTGAAAGTTTTTATCCCTTGATTTATTCCCCAAAATATTCATCAAATTGAGGAAGGTGAGTCGTGTCAAACTCAGTAGCTCCTGGCAATAGTATAGTGACTTCCCGCAACAAGTTATTAGTCTTATTTTTGTACCTTCCGGCCCGCCATAGTCAGGGTCCCAGTAAGGATCACAGTCATACTCCATTCCTTTGATAATCATTGGAGGAGGGGGTGGTGGAGGCGTGGATTTTTGTGGTGGTGGAGGAGAGGCAGACGTCACTGGCTCTGAGGCAGTTACAGGTGGAGAGAGCGACTTCTGGACAGGGCTGAGTTTGCAGATTGGGTGGTAAGGTGGATCGCAAAGTACAGGTACACCACCAGCGGGAAGGTACACAATATGTGGCTTGCATTGGGGGTCTTTTGAATTACACAGGTACATAACATCCATCTTGGAGACAGGTGGTAAAGTAGGGGGTGAAGGCTGGGTTGTGGGTGGAGGCGTCGACTTTAGTTGGAGGCCGAGGCTATTCTGGTATTTGGATGCATCAGGGCCATACGTGAGCTCCAGATGTCGCATCTGCTGGTAAAGCATTCGAATTTTGTCTATCTCATAGAGCTGGAAGAGAGACAGAGAAAATACAGCTTCTTTGTGCATTTTAATGAACAACACTTCTATTTTTATTTCTGCTGTATATTGCTTGCTGAGGAAATAACTTAAAGGGACAGTTCACCCAAAAATGCAAATTCTGTCATAATTTACTTTCCCCCCATGTTGCTCCAAACCAATAAGATTTTACTTAATCTTTAAAAAACTCAAAAGATTCAACAAGGTCATAAAGGTATCATAAAACGTATCAATATGAATTGAGCGGTTTAATCCAAGTTGTGTGAAGCAATACCATCGCTTCATATAATGAACAGATTTAATTCTTTCTTTTAATCCAAATTGGTTTAGACCGCTCAATTGATATGGATTCATTTTAAGATGTCTTAATGACCTTTTTGGATCTTTTAAGTTTTGAATACCTGTACTTTCAATGAAGGAATAGAAATATCTCAGATGTCATTAAAAATATCTTAATTTGAGTTTCAAAGATTAAAGGTAGGGTAGGCGATTTCGAAGTGGTTAGCAATAGCAAACTAGCTTTGACAGCATAAGATCCCACCCTCCCTGCAAATCACTCTCCAAAGCCACGCCTCCTTCAAAACACTAGTGATGTCCGGTTCGGGAACGAATAGTTCGATTTAACCGGTTCTTCTTAGTGAACCGGTTGAACCAGTTCACCAAATCGGACTGAATCGTTTGAAACGGTTCGCATCTCCAGTAAGCATTAATCCACAAATTACTTAAAGGTGCAGTAGGAGATCTTGGAAAATGCTAACTTTAGCCTGATAGCACTGAAAGCGAACGTCCCACCCTCCCTGCAATCGCCGTCCAAATATAATATCGATAGACTCGATATCATTACGTCATCGCGAATGACGTCATTACGTTAGGGTGTAAAAGAACCGATGAACCGGTTAAAACGAACTGTCCGAAAGAACCGATTCGCGGAAAAGAACCGGACTTCATCGCTACAAAGCAGACCAGAGGCTAACCAGCAACTCAATGAGAGACGGCGTTGGTGGAGGGTCGAATGCAACTACATTTTAGTTATCATATTTAGACAAACTTGTCCTGTTTTTCTTTATTCAATGAAATGTATGAGCATTTTAGTCAGGTTTTTTACTCAATGAAATATTAGTCACATTTTCGTCATTCTGTATAATGGTTAAACTGATAAAAAAAATATTTTTTTTTCAAAATTATAATCGTAATGATTGTTGTCAATTGAGAAATTTACTTTTGCATTTCAGGTATTGCACTTTCACCAGTAAGCACAAATCAATAAAATGTGGACACATACATGGTGTATTTTACCTCATCTAGTGTACTGATTTATTATAGGCTTTTTAATTTATAAATCAACACCAAAGACTCATGCAATCTCTCTGTCTACATTATGAAAACGGCTAAAACAAGCGAAAAATATTATAACAGTTAAATTCCTAGTAATTCCACTAATTCCATAATTGCAATAGTCTATTTCTCTATTAAAACAACAGCGATTGAGTAAGTGTATTTATTCAGCGATCACAATCGCAAACAATACAGTGAGATCTCACGACAGAACATTGACCGGCTGATGACGCTTTCATTTAGATCGCTAAACTCCAGCTTGCTTGTTTTTCAGATCATCGGCGGCGGCGCTTCCGCAATGAGGAGTGAGCGCCGGCGCATGGTTGCCAGATTGCTTAAAATAAGCAAAACACACCGGGAGGAACTTGTATGCATTTAACTGCGAATCTCTGATTCGGGGATTTGAACTCTTGATATCTGGCAACCGCACTCATGAAAGCTGCAATAACATTTTGTCTCCTTTTTTGACGAAAATAAAAAGAGGTTTTTGGTAAAGTTTTTATCTTTTTGAATACATTTTAGTCTCGTCTTATTTCGTCAACGAAATTGCATGTTGATATAGTCTTAGTTATCGTTTATTGACCTTATTGTCGTCTGGTCTTGGGAAAAAAGCTTCTCAACGAACATTTTTCGTCATAGTCTTCGTTAACGAAATTAACACTAGCATGGAGGTATGCAAATACATATATTGACAGGCAGGTAGGACAGCCTATCGTAGCCCTCGGACTGAGGGATGTGATTGGATGGACATTTCATGTGCATATAAATACATTAGACCACTTAAGTGATTGCTATAGGGCTGTGAAGAGACTTTCAACCAGCATAACAAAAAATGTTTTTGAACCAAATCACCTACCCTGCTTTTAACCAAAGACTTTTCTATGTTTGGAACAACATGAGGATGTAAATGATGACAGAACTTTCTATTTTGTATGAACTATCCCTTCAATAACTTAAAAGTTAATTATAGGATAGGGGGAAAAAAACAAATATTGTTCTTCTTACCCCTTCAGTTTGCCCAATACTGCTGTAATAACGATAGTAGGACTGAAAGTCTGGATTATAGTGATACCAGTTGGGGTCAGCTGTTCTTCTTGGACGTGCATGTGCCAGAAAATCATGGGCATGTTCAGAGTCAATGCTGACAGCTGGATTAGATGCTGCAAGAGAAATTAGTACTAATGTATGAGTCAAATTAAATTTTTGATGGAATAGTCTAGAAGACAAGTATCATATGTGAATGGTTTTGCACTGGCAAAAGTGAAGGCACTAAATGTTGTCATGCTTTTGAGATATTTTAGTCTTACCTTTGTCTTTGGAGACTTTTGTTAAGGATGTTGCCTGCGACACTGCGGAAATATTAAAAAGTTAATAATTGTTTAGCTGAATATTTATTTCTTAAAGAAAAGTTTTGTAAATAATCATACCTGGCAGAATTACCAAGTAGTGCAGAGCCCCATAAAGGCACAGCACAGACGCCATCTGAAAACAGATTTGTTTTTTACAATAATTATGAATTTAACTGATTATTCTGATCTGTTAACATTTATTTTATTAGTCAACAATGTTAATATAAAAACATTAACTACATATGAGTCACTGCTATATTAATGGAAACAACTGCATGTAAATGAAGGTCTTATATCTAAGGAATATATACCTAAGTCTATCCAAGTAAGCATAGTATAGCATTTATAGGGTTTTGCTAAATATATTAACATGAATATACAGCATATATATA